ATTTCCAAAAGGATGTGTGCAAAGCCTTTGTAAAGAGAAGTGCAGAAGACTTGCTTATGCAAAGAAGCATTCCTGAACTGCACCTGCAGCACTGGGGACAATTTCCAGTGCCAAGGCAGCTTCCAGGTCTGTTCTTGTGGGGCTGCTGCTCCAATCTCAGGGATGCCCGAGCCATCCATTTGTCAGTCCTGGAGGGAAGTTCTCTGTAGAGAATGGCAGATGATTTCTCACACCACAGACTGTATTTTCCTCTGCCTCTTGGCTTGCATTGAGCACTTGAACAAATCTGTTCTGTCCCTGCAGCACTGGTGATGAGCATGCTCGAGGTAACTGGGGATATTTAGACCAAGTGGCGGCTCTTCGCTGGGTTCAGGAAAATATCATGCATTTTGGAGGAGATCCAGGATCTGTCACTATCTTTGGAGAATCTGCAGGAGGAATCAGTGTTTCTGCTCTTGTAAGTTCCCAGTAATCATGAATTGTAATTACTTGGGGGAAAACCCCTCCATCCATTTTCAGTATTTGCATGGGAAGTCAGTGAGAGAAAAGGGACGGGGTTACAGTGACACATCACCTGGGTCTTTGATAACACAACAAAGCAGAACAACGCAGATTTTGAATGATAATAATTTGTCATTTTCATACTCAAATGTTGTGGTTAAGAAACAGAATGTTATTACTCATCTGTTGAATTAAGTTCTCTTTAGTTTGGAGTGGTTTTTTCAATGTAAAAAAACCCTCAAAGTCTAATCTCATGAGAAAAGTCCTTTAGGAGGAGTTGTGGACTCTTGCCCAATTTCTGTTTGCTTTGACAGCCACTTGTGCAAAGTGATTGAGGTGAATAGTTCTGGCAGCTGGTGCAGCCCAGCAGTTTGTGACCCTGTGATTGTGTAAAATCTTCACTCCAACACGGAGCACATTGGCTGTGACTCTCTCCTTCTCCAGTCGCTCCCACTTTGGTACAGCTCACACAGCCCAGCCACGCTTCCTTGTACCTGGCATGCACATCCCTGCTTCCCATGGCCAAAAGCTCTTTCCTGCCCTTCTGCAGCAGAGCCAGCCTGCCTTGGGCACATCCCATCTGTACCTGCCCTGCAGGTGCTGCTGGGAGGCCCTGGGAGCAAAGGGCAGGGGAGGGAAAGGCCCTGAGCTCCCCATCCCTGCCAGCGCTGCCAAAGCACTTTGCACAGCTGGGCTGTGGCCAGAGGCTGCACAGGGACACTCTTAGCATATGGGCTTTCCAAATGCCCCCAATGGCCCCTGCTGATACTGAAACCCAAAATCCCAGGGGAGAACACACTGCTTGTCATGCTTGTCCTTGCTTTCTCACAGGTCTTATCTCCCCTGGCCAAGGGCTTGTTCCACAAGGCCATTTCAGAGAGTGGCACTGCAGCCCTGGGCCTGTTCACTGACCAGCCTAAGGAGGAAGCACAAGTGGGTATTTGTGGCAATTTTAATTCGTTTTTCCAGATATATCTAAACTGTTCAGGTCAATATATTGAATCATGTGAATTCAAATTTCTTGTGAATCAAAGCAGTCATTAAAGGCAGTATTTTTGTGTGTAAATAGTACATGTTTAATGATGTGTTGCTTTTCAAACACCCAAAATACCCCCAATGAGTGAAAAATGTAAAGCCAAGGAATATTGTAACATGTAGTAACTTCAAAAAAACCTGAACTTATACTTTTTTGCTGGAAAACAGTATCAGACTGATTACTCTTCTCTTCCCCTCCTGTTTGATGCCTGTAGTCTACAAATACACAAGACTTTATTCAGGTTTTTTTTACTTTGAGAACTCTGGCTTCATCCTTTCTTTTCTCTTCAAATGCAAAGAACAATTTCCAGAACCTGGAAGCTGGCACATCAAAGAGACAGCTCTCTCTAAGGGCAGCTCTTGCTCCAGCCAAAAAGACATCACCAAGAGTGGCAGAATGTGCTCTCTGTTGCCCTGCAGATGGTTTATTCTCTAACTCCTTTATGTCACCCAGCCTTCTCAGCCCAGCCTGTTATTTACCAGCATTTTCTCAGAATATTTCTGTATCAAGAGAACCTGGAGGCAGAGGTTTTCCCCTCCTGCCCAGCCCGTGGTGTGAAGGATTGTGAGGGCTTCCAGTGCCCTCCCTCAGGAGCTGGGACAAGCCAGGCTCCAGCATCCTTTGTGCAGGAGCTTTGGCTGCTCCTGCTGCACTTGGTGTCTCGTAGAGCCAGACAGAGGAAATGTGTCCAAAACTGTTTGTTCTCACTGCTTGCAGAAAATTGCTGCTGTCTCTGGCTGTGAAAAATCCAGTTCAGCTGCAATGGTTGAATGCTTGAGAGGAAAAACTGAAGAAGAAATACTACAGATAACACAGAAAATGGAGGTGAAATGATTCTTCTTGCATTTAAATGACAGTGCGGACCTTTTAATCCCAGAGAATAGCCTTGGTGGGATGTAATATTAGGAGAACCTGAAGTGGATGTAAAATCTGGCGTTCTTGACTTTTTCAGGACATGACAGCACTGCAGATCTGCAGTGAATTCTTGCCTGAAAACTGCAAACAGGTTCCTGCCCTTCATTCTGCATGCACTTGGAGCTACCTGTGGCTTGCTGTTATGCTCAGCCAGGGCAAGGAAAAGAAAATGGCACAGATGATTCTGGAGAAGCTGAAAATCAAATAATATATTATGTCCTACCTAAAAATTCTTATCGCATTGCTTATGTACCTTTGAAACTTCAATAGAGAAGTGATTTTCCCCCACTGTTCCACACATCCATGACCATAATTAACTAAAGAAAGATGTAAAATCAGTATAATGACTTCTGCTTCACAAACATTAGAAATATAATGTTAATCTAAACAGAACCTCCTGCCTAGTGCAGAACAGCTGTTAGAGGGAAAATCTTTAGATGGCTTGGATAGCATTACTTTCTGTATTTTCATTTGGCTTCTCTTTGGAACTGTAGTTAAAATCTGAACATCTTTTGGAAGTAAAATGAATGCACTAATGAAGCTTTCTTTTTCCTTTTTCCCCTTCTGTTTAGGATATCTTTTTCATCAGTACATGTGTAGATGGTGTATTTTTTCCGAAGAGTCCCAGGGAATTACTCTCTGAAAAATCAATCAATGCTGTCCCATACATCGTAGGAGTAAATAACTGTGAATTTGGATGGGGACTTCCTATGGTAAGAGAATAATAGTGTTGATCTAAAAACATAATTTTATAAATAGAGGCTGTTTTAGTAAATATCATTCTCTGTATCGCACAGCTGATGAAATTTCCGCCTTTTGTGGATGGTCTGGATAAAGATGTTGCACGTCAAATTTTACAGAGCACCATAGCACTAGTCATTAAGGTAAGAGACCAGTTTCAGAATAACCCAGTGCTGCTGCTTGGCTGGTCTGCCTGGTTTTACCCCTGGAGGGACACAGGGGAATGCCATTGTGCTGGACAGCTCCCTGAATTGGGGCAGAAACAGGCACACAGGTGCT